CAGCTGAGTGTCGCCTTTATATAGCAGTCGGCTGCTCGCAGACGAAAGCGTAGAAGCATCGAATTGTTCGCTATGGAAGGTTCTTGTTTTATCGTACTAGTTATCGGCTTCTCTCTTTCATCTGACAATCGCCTCGCATTTTCGCAACAATATTAAAGTAATAAACATACTCTGCAAAGGTAAGGCAGCACCGTTTTTTTTTCGTTCTAACGGTCATGTATACTAAATTTACTAAAGCAAACTTACGTGAGAATACAATTTTTTTGTTTTGATAAAACTAACTAAACAAAATCGTTTTAAACGTTATAAGGTTATTATAAGCGTTATTTAAGTGTTCCGTGTGACTATATTAGCGTTTATTCGAGAATTTCGGTTGGTCAAAAAAACAATTTAATCAAAAATCACTCGAAAACTTGGCATACATTTTTGTGATGTTTATGACCTTTTTTTACTCCCCAAAAATAAGTTTTTTCAAATCCTGGCGCACCCTCGTGAAGTCGACCCAAATTTTCACATCATCGGCATATAACAAGAAATTTGAATTCCTTATTACCGAAGATAGATCACATAAATAGAATCAGGCCGAGAGGTAGTCATCTCCTGATGGTACGCTAACAAATTTTGATAAAACCCTTCTGACATACCTTCCGTTCATAGCAACATATCTAATAAGAGCGCCATGTAGACACAAAGTTGTCATCGCAATCATAATTCGCACTCCAAATATAAATTTTACTCGCCTTACAAATTTTCGTGAGCGAAATACAGTTAAAGTAGGTAATTCGTTCTTAATTTCCATGCGCATTACGACCAAATCGATGCCTTCTCTACTTCTTATCGAAATTTTATTGCCAGCTGGGGCAATTCAAAACAAAAGAGAGGAGAATCATAATAAAAGATTTTCATTGATTTGAAACCAACGGCTTTTTGTATTCTAAAGAAGAAAAAAATTGAAATTATTAAAGAAACTGGCATTACATTATCAATTCAATTCAAGAATTTGTTAACTTTTACTAAAATCTTTTATTTTCATACGTTTTCAAATGGAACAAACAAGCGAAACCGAAAACTGTCAAACTGTTTGCCATGTGAATGGAGGTAATTTGCAGTAGTACTTGAGAGAGCGAAACACGTAATTGGGCTGTCGTGGGAATGCCATATCGCTACACAAGGTTGCCAGCATTGACTTTTTTAACTTATATTAAATAATCGAAGATAAAGTGTAGTTTTTATCGAAAGAAATTAAAAGTAAATGCGTAACTAATTATTTGTTACCATATAGATCATGCATATTTCACTTGCGTTTATATTCGAACATATGAATTAAGAAATTCATTGACGAAAATTATAAATTTTTTCACAAATGTGCAAACACACTGGCTGCTGGGAACATTTTGCCGATCTCAATAGCGTCGATAACTTGTGTATGTATCTCGCTCTTCCAGTCGGCTGTTGCAAAAGTGTCTTTAAATGTCACAAGTTGTGTTCTATCGCAGAGATATGAGGAAACCTATTTAAGAAATCTTGGTTAAAAGCCCAGAAGATCTAGCTTATGGATGAGAGTTAATCACTCAACTTCTATCGAATGCTTTACTGAAGTGGACGCTGATAACGTCAGTTTGCTTATTATCTCCAAACGATTTAGGGATATGCTACAAGCCTATTTCCATCCGACGTTAAATACATGTGCTCCCAGGTGTTAAGACACTTTTCAAAGTGAGTTCACTCACTTTCGCTAATTTAACAGAAAATGTTGTATTAACACTTGATGCTGTCACTACTAATGTAATCATTTCGGAAGTTTCGGTATAATGCGGGAAAAGAGTTTTATTTTGTATAGTGAAATTCTTCGTGCAAAAACTACTTTTTTGCATTGGTTTTAATATCAATACATATATCAAGTAATTGGAAAAGACAGTTTCTCCTTCTTCAAAAGCAAATCTGGAACAGAAAAAGAAATTAAGAACATGCATAAAAGCACTTTCGTTTCAGCAGCGTTCGTCCGAACAGCAATAATCTGGACTAACAAATCATAGGATTGCATTAGTAGCCAAATAAAATAAATACAGTCCCTTGAATTCATGAATTTAATGTTAGTGACAAATTCTGCGAACAGCAAATATAAACAAAAATCAGTTCGTCGCATATAACAAGAAATTTTAATTCCTTATTATCGAAGATATTTCAGAATAACATAAATAGAATCAGGCCGAGAGGTAGTCATCTCCTGATGGAACGCTAACAAATTTTGATAAAACCCATCTGGCACACCTTCCGTTCGTAGCAAACTAGCTAATTAGAGCACCATGTAAGCACAAAGTTGTCACCGTTTGCCCTTGCCGGCATATGGCATTTCCACGTCAGCCCAATTACGTGTTTCGCTCTCTCAATCGTAATTCGCACTCCAAATACATGCCGATCTATTTAATTCTAACTGTCAAACTGCATGCTATGTGAATAGGGGTAACTGGACTATCGTGAGAGTGCCATGTTAGTGATGGTTGTCCCGCTGGAACCAGAGGCGATTTCATTTATTCCGTAAAACAGGTGTGACTCATTTCTCTTTGCTACACAAGGTACTGGCAACCTTTTTTTACTTATATTAAATAATCGAAGTAGTTTTAATCAAAAGAAATTAAAAGTTAATGCGTAACTAATTATTTGTTACCGTATAGATCATGTATATTTGACTTGCGTTTATATTCGAACATATGAATTATGAAATTCATTTACGAAAATAATAAATTTACTCAAAAGGTTGCAAACACACTGGCTGGTGGCAACATTTCGCCGATCTCAATAGCGTCGACAACTTGTGTATGTATCTCGCTCTTCCAGTCGGCTGTTATGGACGAATGATAAATAAAATGGCTAGTTGCAGCAAAAGTGTCTTTAAATATCGCAAGTTGTGTTCTATCACAGAGATATGAGGAAACCCATTTATGAAATCTTGGTTAAAAGCTCAAAAGATCTGGCTTATGGATGAAAGTTAATCACTCAACTTCTATCGCACGCTTTACTGAATTCGGTGCAGATAACGTCAGTTTGCTTATTATCTCCAAACGCTTTAGGGATATGCTACAAGCCTATTTCCACCAGACGTGAAATGCATTTTCGCTCAAATGTATTTAAACATCGCTTTTAAGCGCGGGACTTTCGATGTGTTAACACACTTTTGAAAGTGAGCTCACTCAATTTCGCTTATTTAACAGAAAATGTTGTATTAACACTCGATGCTGTCACTACTAATGAAATCAATTCGGAAGTTTCGGTGTATTAATTATTAGAGTCGCGTATTTTTGGATCTAATGCGGGAAAAGATTTTTATTTTGTATAGTGAGATTCTTTGTGGAAAAATTACTTTTATGTATTGGTTTTAATATCAATACATATATCCAGTAATTGGAAAAGACTGCTTCTCCTTCTTCAAATAAAACCAGTAAGAAATAAACCAAAAGCAAATCTGGAACAGCAGGCGATCTCCTCAACTTAAAAATGTATGCGGCTGTGGAAGCTATCAGCTGATTGCGCAAAATAAATAATTTGAGGAAACATACATGCAAAAATGAAATTGTTAACAGGCATAAAGGCACTTTGGTTTCAGCAGCGTTCGTCCGAACAGCAAAAATTTGCACTTACAAATCATAGGATTGCATTAATAGCCAAATAAAATGAATGCAGTCCCTTGAATTCATGAAATTAATGTTAGTGACAAATTTTGCAAACAAAATCAACTGTTTGAGTTAATTCACTTTCGGTGCAAACGTTTGACACTTTATTCACTTAACAGAGGCCTGAAATACATTTAAGTGCTCGCTGGAAATAGGCTATAACAGAAGTATTTTCCGCCAAAGCTGATGGAATTTTAGGTACAGATTTTTTAACTAGACACCAATGCTAAATTGATAATGAGATATTTATATTACAACCTCTATCGTGTTAAAAAACTAATAACACATTTTATACACAAAAACTCAATTAAACTGACAATTTACCCGTATATATAAATAACTATAGAATCCAGGAAACGTGCTATTTCGACGGGACTGGGCCAGAGGGAGAAGGGGGTTAGATAAGTGCATAGTAGCATAAGTGGCAACGTGGGTGTCTCGAGGAAGCTCGAGCTCGTTGTCTGCAACGGGAGGTGGTTTTCTCTCCGAGCACGCCATTTAGGGGAAGAGAGTCTATGAAGTTGTTCACGGACTCCTGGTGAATGGCGCCTGTCTATACGCTGTCCTGTTCAGCGGTTGCTGCACGTATTGCTTGATGGTGTTTTTCATGTCAATTACTCCCTTTCTAATGCGCCTAGGTGATGGTTTAGCTTCAATAAGATGCCTATTGTGGTGTTCCCTACGGTGGCATCCTAATATAAACTGCTTGCACAGCAAAGTTTATGCTTCTTAACTCATAGCACAGATGCTCCTCTGATGCATGCGGCGGCATCAGGAGGTTTCCTGTCGCTGTCTTGAGGGCGGTGGTCTGGCAAGCTTATAGCTTGTTCTTCTGCGTCTCGTTCGTCGCTGGCGCCCAGATCGGTGCAGCATAGTTTACGACCGGCCGGCCAATGGCTTTGTAAGATGGCAGCAAAGTTTCCTTGTCTTTACCCCAGGTGCTGCCGGCTATCACTTTGAGTATTTGTTTTTTGTTGCGGCTCTTGAGTTTTGAGGCAATTACGGTCGTACGCGAAGTAAATGGGTGCCTGTATGTAGTGTGACTCCCAATTTCTTTGGTATATTTATGGTCGGAATATTCACGTTATCGAACTTCACATGTAATTCGAGCCAGTACTCCTGCGTCCAGTTGGTGAAAAGTGAGTTATAGAGGGTGAAAGGGGCTCCATTCTCTCTCAGACACAGATGACTTAGCCTACCGGAGACCTCTAGTTTTTGATATATTTTAAATTTAAAATTACAAAAATATTGGATTTTTATCCTTCAATTTTTGTACGTAAAGCAATTACTTTGAATTTTGGTGTTGTACATATATTAAAAAGAAATTCCAAAATGAAAATACGAGAATACAGTTCTACACAAGGCAACGCTTGCCTAGCCAAGGGATGTTAGTATGTTTATAAGTAAAGCAGAAACAGGCTCTTTGCATATGAAAAGTGTGACTTTAGATGTTTATAACGTTTGAACTAAAAAATTGCGCGCGACAAAATTTATATTTTGGATAATTAACCATTCCTGATCACAGGCTCTATACTAAAGTTTTCCCGAATATTTCTGTCGACATTCTTACGAAGATTCATGTCGAAATTCCTGGTTGTTTGTTTACAATATCGAAAGCAGCTGAAGACTAAAGCTCAGCCTCAAGGCATTTTCCTCTATACCAAATTTATTAATGAAAATAAAACTCACTCTGGCGTTGTGCTCATCCAAACTACATACTCTTTAATTAAATATCTCTTATAAAGAGAGTAGTACTTACGTGACACTGGTAACAATACGGTAAATATTGTCAAAAAAATTGCATTTGACCAATGCAAAAACAGGTACCCGCATATCAGAACACATGCCAAAAAATACCATTTTTGATTAGTATTTCCTTGTGAAATATTCGACCAACTGGCCGTAAGTTTGAATTTAGAATGTGGCCTTTTTACAAAAAAACGCAATAATACCGCAATTATTATTGACTGAATGATTAAACCACAAAAAAATTTCTGTGGGTTTAATATAATCAATAAACCATAAATTCCCAGACACATTGCAAAATAATTTGTTTGATAATAAAGTAAATTTTTCACAACACGATTGCCCCATTTGTCCAAATCTCTCACATTTGGTATTTGAAAGCGAGCAGAACCGAACATAAATTCGTCCAAACTTCGCATTGGAGCAAATTCCAAATTGTGACTTGACAAAGCATCACTTATATTTGCGCAGGAAGACATTTTCAACCTTTAAATGAAGAAATAACACCGATTTGTGTGAAATCGTAACACAAATTAATATTTATCACTTGATAGATTTACAATTTTATAATAGGGGCCTTATAAAGCACTAAAGTGTTACGTGTTGCCCATTTATCGGGGCTGAATACTGTAATGCAAAGTACACACGATACAGCGTGCTACGCAGCATATTGCATTGTGTGTAGCTTGGCGATGTAGTGTTGTTACAACCGTTTAACATATATCAAAAAATTTTGATTTTTAGTGGGCGGAACTTATTATTTCTTTGGTTGTGTATTTTGCATTATCGTGAGTATCACTTATGTACAACAAGTAGTAGTGTCTTCGGTGCAGATCAGTAATAACCAAAATTGGCAAAATAAAGAGTTTTCAATAGCAAGGTACCTTAATGTTGCTGAAAGTCGAACTTTCGGTGTTAAAGCTGGATTGAAAAATGTATCTATTTTTAGGTACCACTGTTAACACCATCATTCTCTTCCAGTTGTCTTCCGTTTTTTCTTCAAGTTTTGTGTTTCCTCGTCATATAAAATTTCATCCATCATTATCAAAGCTACTATGTGGCTCATTTTTGCTGTTTCTTACCATATTATTACAAGAAAAAAATGGATACAATGATAATGTTAATTATAAAGGGCTCAACAAGTTATACAGCTTACTGTACAGCGCGGGTTTGCTAACAGAGTCCCGATGATCTACCAAATCGTTCGACTTCTTTCACTGGGTTGTTATACTAAAATTACATAACTTGTTAGATCGTTTATTACTCAAATATTTACTATTTGCTTAAAATTAGGGAACACCGTAACTATGTATATAAATCTTTCACAGTATACTTTCAATTCACTTTCTAACTAAGCACTGCACTGCTGGCAGCCACTTTCATATACCTCACTTTAAACTCGTTCTTATCGCTAATTAAATCTTATGTTATTTTCTCGGTAAAAACATTCAGGACGTAGTTAACAATATCTATCTTTCATCTGTCATTCCTACTCGGTACTTATGCTCCTCTCTCAACCTACCTTCGGTTGTCACAATCAGACACCTTTTAAGTGGACACCTTTCATCTTGTTTATAGGTCTCCCAAGCGTCTGTATTCGATACACGGCGTATTCGACATTATTTCTTTGGTTTACCGCTACCGCCAGCTTTCCTCCATTGGGACCATAGTGAATGCCTTAAGAACATCCGGTATCCTCAACTTCAAAAATACTATCAGGTTTCGGTAGCTCTGGTCATCTTTATTTACTCATACTCCATGCCAGATTTAAGCTTTAAACTGTCCCATGACGGCCTTCTCCTTTACAATTTGGACTTTCTGCTGGCATTTACTCATTACTTGGTCGCGTGCTCATCTCCATTTCATGCATTAGAATTTTCAAGCCCATATCTTTGTGTTGACATTTCTCCCACTCTTCTTTTTTACTTGTTTGAGTTTGAAGGTTTTGAGTTTACGAGAACTGTCAAGTATTTCCACTGGCTGTTTATTGAGGTTAGTGTTTGAACTGTCACTTATTTTCGATTGCAATATATGTATATATTTGGCACTTTAGAACCGCTCAAGCGATTTTCGGCCGAGCTTCTGCTACAATACTGTGAAACACCTTTGTATGTAAAAGACCGGCTTCGCCTTGCACAGTATTCTAAAGTAAAGCACCTTTGTAAGTTGGAAAGGGATATTAAAGTAGTAAACTTACTCTGCAAAGGTAAGGCAGCACCGTTTTTTTCGTTCTAACGGACATGTATACTTAATTTACTCAAGCAAACAAACGTGAGAACACATTTTTTTGTTTTGATAAGACTAACTTAACAAAAACGTTTATTAGCGTATATTCGAGAATTTCCGTTGGTCAAAAAAAAAAAAATTTATCAAGAAATTACTCGAAAACTTGACATATATTTTTGTGATGTTTATGACCTTTTTTTACTCCCTAAAAGTATGTTTTTTCAAATCTTGGCGCCCCCTCGCGAAGCCGACCCAAATTTTCACTTCATCGGCATATAACAAGAAATTTGAATTCCTTATTACCGAAGATAGATCTGAATAACATAAATAGAATCAGGACGAGAGCTAGTCATCTCCTGATGGTACGGTAACAAATTTTGATAAAACCCTTCTGACATACCTTCCGTTCATAGCAACATATCTAATGAGAGCGCCATGTAAACATAAAGTTGTCACCGCTTGCCAATGCCGTTATACGTCATTTCCACGTCAGCCCAATTATGTGTTTCACTCTCTTAATCGTAATTCGCACTCCAAATACATGCCGATCTATTTAATTCGCCTTACATATTTACGTGAGCGAATTGCAGTAAAAGTAGGTAATTCATTCTTAATTTCCATGCGCATTACGACCAAATCGATGCCTTCTCTACTTCTTATAGAAATTTTTCGAAACCAGCTGGCAAATCAAAACAAAAAAAAGGAGAACCATAAAAGAAGATTTTCATTGATTTGAAACCAATGGCTTATTGTATATTAAAGGAGAATAAATTGAAATTATTAAAGAAACTGGCATTACAATATCAATTCAATTCAAGAATTTGTTAACTTTTACTAAAATCTTTCATTTTCATACGTTTTCAAATGGAACAAACAAGCGAAACCGAAAACTGTCAAACTGCGTGCCATGTAAATGGAGGTAATTTGCAGTCGTACTTGAGAGAGCGAAACACGTAGTTGGGCTGTCGTGGGAATGCCATATTGCTACACAAGGTTGCCAGCATTGACTTTTTTACTTATATTAAATAATCGAAGATAATGTGTAGTTTTTATCGAAAGAAATTAAAAGTAAATGCGTAACTAATTATTTGTTACCATATAGATCATGCATATTTCACTTGCGTTTATATTCGAACATATGAATTAAGAAATTCATTGACGAAAATTATAAATTTTTTCACAAATGTGCAAACACACTGGCTGCTGGGAACATTTTGCCGATCTCAATAGCGTCGATAACTTGTGTATGTATCTCGCTCTTCCAGTCTGCTGTTATAGACGAATGATAAATTAAATGGCTAGTTGCAGCAAAAGTGTCTTTAAATATCGCAAGTTGTGTTCTATCACAGAGATATGAGGAAACCCATTTAAGAAATCTTGGTTAAAAGCCCAGAAGATCTAGCTTATGGATGAGAGTTAATCACTCAACTTCTATCGAATGCTTTACTGAAGTGGGTGCTAATAACGTCAGTTTGCTTATTATCTCCAAACGATTTAAGGATATGCTACAAGCCTATTTCCACCGGATGTTAAATGCATGTGCTCCAATGTGTTAATACACTTTTTAAAGTGAGTTCACTCACTTTCGCTAATTTAACAGAAAAAGTTGTAGTAACACTCGATGCTGCCACAACTAATGAAATCAATTCGGAAGTTTCGGTATATTTATTATTAGAGTCGCGTATTTTCGGATCTAATGCGGGAAAATAATTTTATTTTGTATAGTGAAATTCTTTGTGCAAAAACTACTTTTTTGCATCGGTTTTAATATCAATGCATATATCAAGTAATTGGAAAAGACTGCTTCTCCTTTTCAAACAAAAACAGTAAGACATAAACAAAAAGCAAATCTGGAACAGCAGATGATCTCCTCAACATGAAAATTTATGCGGCTGTGGAAGCTATCAGCTGATTGCGCAAAATAAATAATTTGAGGAAACAAACAAGCAAAAATGAAATTGGAAACATGCATAAAAGCACTTTCGTTTCAGCAGCGTTCGTCCGAACAGCAAAAATCTGCACTTACAAATCATAGGATTGCATTGGTAGCCAAATAAAATGAATGCAATCCATTGAAATCATGAATTTAATGTTAGTGACAAATTTTGCAAACAGCAAATATAAACAAAAATTAGCCGCTTTAGTTAACTCACTCTCGACACTTTATCCACTTAACAGAGGCCTTAAATGCATTTAAGTGCACGCTGGAAATAGCCTATAACAGAAGTCTTTTCCACCGAAACTAATGGAATATTGGGTAGAGATTTTTTAATTAAACACCAATGCTAAATTTATTATGAGATATTCATATTAACCACAACTGTCAATAACAGAGAAAGTACTTTAACAGTAGAAACCACACTATATTCAAATAAAACTTTTCAAATTCCACCCAGCACAAAAGAGATATTTTCGATAAATTTAAATATAAAAGAAAGCAGCGTAATTTTAAATCAAGAGATCCAATAATGAGTATTTTTAGCAAACTCAATAGCTCTTGCAAAAGGAAATTGTCACATAAAAATTATTAATGTCAATGACGAAACCGTAAAAATCAAACAACCAAAACTGATCACTGAAAAATCAGCTGATTACGACAAAATGACCACATCCAAGAACTATTACATTAACAACAACTTTCGTTTTGAAAAACTATTAACAGAACTAAAATTAGACAACTAGACAACAATACATAATCCGAGTTACATGTCATGTTTCATAAGTATCAATGAATATTTCACCTTGAAGGACGAACACATTTTATACACAAAAACTCAATTTAACTGAAAATTCACCCGTATATATTGTTGCGAAAATGCGAGGCGAATGTCAGATGAAAGAGAGAAGCCGATAACACAAGAACCTTCCATAGCGAACAATTCGATGCTTCTACGCTTTCGTCTGCGAGCAGCCGACTGCTATATAAAGGCGACACTCAGCTGCAAGTCAAGCAGTGACAAAGCAAATTGGTTGGCGTTAACATCAGTGAAGACGTAAAGTGAACGCGTAGGGAATTACATTTAAGTAGAGGAAATTGTGAAAGTTGATGTTAGTGATTATAAATAGTAAAGTGCAGTATAATTGAATTGTGAATTACTGAGAGAATAAAGGACATTAGATAGAATCTTTATAACGAA